AGTATCAGAGCTTAGGTTTAAGTCAAAATTTTTCCAAATAGACCGGCCGGTCGAATGTCAAAAGATGTCTAATCAGTACATACCTCTAGACTACAATCATACATCTCTGAGCCGAAACTCCAAGGTTGAGTCCCTATTTGTAACGAGCAAACCTAAGTTTTTATCCGTTAAGGCTCTACCTTCGCATAAAGGAATACCAGTAACGTTTATCTGAATTTTGTAAAGTACCTCACGAGCCATGTGAGAGTTACTCATATAAGAAATTCTGATCCAACTCCAGAAATGAAATTGGGATATGTTATTGCTCTATGAGCCTATTCTCGTAACCAAGGCTGAATTGATTCCACAAGGATAAATTTGTTCTGATTATTTTATTGGAATGAGGGAGAGTTGTGAAGAAAATGTATACTCAACTGGTTAAGGATTAGTAGATGACACATACTTATATAAAAGCTACTTGAAGATATTAAAGAACTGATGGAAGTTTCTTTTCTGTAATTCTGTGACATGAATGAATGTCGAATACGAAATTCTTTTAAGGAGGGGATAATTGTAACACCCTAAATTAGAGGCTAAATTTTAGAATTATAAAGTGATGGATTTAATTGGTATTTTGGGAAGAAAATTGAGGATTAAATTGTAAAGTCACAAAGTTAGAATACCTTTTATAAGGTTCATGAAATTCAGTGGCTAAACTATTAATTTAACCATTTTTATTTTGAAGAGAATTATAAACTCTCCCCCCGATTGTTTACGCATATTTTTCCCAGTTTTCCCTCCCCTTTCACTCTCCTTTCACTCTGATCTACTCATCATCCGACCTCCGTTTGACGAACCAAAACCATCATCGTGTTCATTGTCTACCGATGAACAAAACCCCTCAAGCATCTGATCGTGAATCGACGTCGTTCGCCGTTAATTTCAGTCGGAAGTATCGTCGATTTTAACTCAATTTTTGTTGGTTTTTCATTGATTCACGTCGATCAGGTCATCCATTTTTGACACCTCCCACACCATCGTGTTCCTTGCATCGTTCTGAGGCCACCGGTGATCTCCGTGTCTCTATCGTCGCCGGTGCGTAGAGGGGTGAGAAAGTCAAAGTTTTTTATGTTTCGGAATCGAGCTCTCCACTGTTCAAAATATTGAACTGAGCTTGGTAAGTGTCCCAAAATGCCATAAAATAATTTTTAGAATTTTTTTGGGATTTTTAGGGTCTTTGAGGACGCCGCACGTGTCGCCCCCTTCGCATGGGGATAGTTCTGCGTAGGTAAACAGAAAAAAAGAAAAGAATCGGTTTGACCGATTTGAATCAATCCGACCCGACCCGATCGACTCGACCCGTTGACCGCGTTGACCGATGTTGACCACCGTTGACCGATGTTAAATTTTTTCGGGTATACCTATCATGATGTTTTACTTTCTAAATCCGTTTTTTGGGGTCTGTTTTGCCAAATTCAAACCCGGTAAGCTGTTTTCACTTATTTATCACCCGATTCGATCCATTTTTCGAAATTAAGCTATGTTTTTTATGAAATTTATATTGTTATGTTTTTGAGGAATTATTGAAAGTTGAATTAAGGATCGAGTGAGTTCGGATGGAATTTAATGGTCGATCAGTATTACACGAAAATCGAGAAAATACATTAATACATTTTCATGCTTTATGGAACATGTTTGTATTGGTAAATGCATGAATGAACATGTTTAGTCACATTTGGGTTTTTAATTAATTCATACACTCGATATGAATGCAGTAGAAATTCGGTAACTGAATACGGCTCATATGACTAATATTAAGAAATTGAGGGATTGTTAGAATTAAATTAGAAGTTCTATGCTTAGTGATAAAGGAATCAGCCCTAGATATGTAACTTATATTCTATATCATCAAAGGTTAATTGTTAATAGTACTTGGACGAGAAATTATGAGAATACTTTGGTTTGGTAAAATTACGAAAATACCCTTATATTGTAAAATGAAAAGAATTACCCTGGAAGTTGGTTACTAACTCTGAAAGGACATATTGAGCTGATGAAATTGCTGATGGGTATGGAAAATGATAGTTTTGCTTAGAAAATTTGGATAACCGGTTTGTAACCCCAAGAGGGTTTGTGCAAGATATTAGAAGTTTGTTAAGGAATCATTTCAAGATCAGAGAATGTTCGGAAAAATAATTAACCAAGGGATCTCTAATTATAATTATTTTCGTTAAGAGTTAATACCGAATTTATCTGGTTTAGAAATTATGAAAATACCCTTGAGAGGTAAAAATAGTCCGAGTTGACCTTGAATGAAAAAGTATTTTCAGGATTCGTACTTAACTCGATAAATTACAAATTTAATTGTTAAGATCTTGTCTTTGTGCAAAAAATTCATAATAACTTGTTGGTAACTTCTGAGAAGATAATTGACCTGAAAATCTCCGAGTTAAGAATGAATTATCGAGGGTGCTCTTTTGTCAGAATTGTTCGAAATGTCTGGAAAAGATGATACGTTTGAATTAAATAATAAGATCATAACGAAGGAAATGATTGAAATACACCAGATCTATAAAATGACCAAAATACCCCTGTAATGAAAATGATCCAAGAATATCACCAAGCTCAGGAATGATGTGATATTCTTGAGCTCTGTAATGAATGGAATAAAACTGAACACCAAAATGACCAAAATACCCTTATGGTTACACTCAGTAAATGTCTTGGATTAATTAAGGAATCCAAGTAAATATGGGTGTTGTACTACCCTTAAAAGTTATGGAACACAACTTAAGTGAGCCGATCAACCTTAATGATATGTCAGTACCTGAACTACATAGATATCACTTGAATGCGTGTTCGTCTTCTAAAGTTTGGTTCGATGATAATTCTGAAAGTATTCAGCTCAGCTCAACTGTAGATCACATTCGGTACTAAGAAGTGGATATTCGTTAGACAAATCAACTACGAATACCAAATTGAACTGAACAGAAGTATATTATGTAACAAAATTCAGAAACGTCTGAATTACTCTCGAAAACTCTGAAGTAACCGGGATAGACTTGACTACTAAGTGATCTAAGTAAGCTCAATGGCTGAGGATTAAATAAGTTATTTGGATGAGTTTGGGAATGCTAATGAACTTACATGATGTATTGTTCTTCTGGGTCATGAACTATAAATCAAGCACGTCAGCATTTCATGATATTGTGGAAGCGTGAAAATGAAATAAAGACATTGGAAGATATATTCATCGATGATTCCGAATATGATCTATGGATAATAATTTGTGGTATTTAAGAGTAAATACACTGGAAAGGCAATGAATTGATCAGTCGACAAGCATTAGTTCTGGGAGTTATTCATATGGAGTTTTTCGATAATCCAATCAATTGACATAGATTGTAAAGGTTCTGAATCTTCGTTCTCTCTTATCAGCTGAAAATACTCTGGGCATATCTGAATACACAAGTAACTCATATGTAAAGGATTCTGAATACCCTTATGATTACGTTGAGCTTTCGAAAAATGTACGAATAAGATATGATCCTGGTAAATCATATTTTGAATAACTGATGATTCTGTCAGTTAATGAACTCTTCCAATAGTGATTCTAACTTCCGACATTCTATCGGTAAACTGAAGATCTGTGTTTCTCCACCCGATAAGATTATCCAATATCTCTGAATAATATCTGGAAACTCTAGTGTGTTCCCTACTCACATGAATATTTTATCTAATTTTCGATTTGAATTTTGTTCTGACATCTGATCTGAAATCTATTCTGATTCGACCTGGATTTTGTTATGATATCTGATCTGAATTATGTTTTGTTTTCTGATATCTCTGTTTATTGACAGAAATTGTTTTATTTGGGGGTATTGTTGGAGGGTTTATATCTGCAGGTTCCTCGGCTTTGTGCTCAGGGCCTTACTGTTGTGCAGAGGGTGTATGGTTCTGTGGAACCTACACATTATGTTGTGTTCGGTTGAAATGATTACTATGGTTTTTGTTAAATAAAAATGTTTTAAAAAGATCTATATATTTTCACTGGTTTTGAGGGAACACACTAGATAAACTATTATGATCTCTTGAACTCAGTCATCTGAAATATTTCTCTGAACTGAAAGCTCACTGTCAGTTACTATCTGAAATATCAGTAGGATTTCCGCTCAACATAAAGATCTGTAGATGTCTGAACCGATAAGGAAATATATGTTTATATGTATCTGCACGCTCTTCAGTATCATCTGGTAGTTCTGTATTACTGAGCTTTCCAAAGCTCACTCTGTTACTCACCTTTTCAGGTTAAAAGAATCGTACCAGTGCATTTATCGACATCAGAAAAAAAGTTCTTCCGACGTTGCTTATAGAGTATTGTACATGTGATTATGGGACATGTAATTGCATTTTGTTTTATATATATGAGTTTAAAAATTTGTTTTATTTCTGAATACTGATAAATTTTATTTTATATTCATAAATCATTTTATGAGCTTACATGTTTTGACAAAAGTTTTAATTTTTTTGATATTTTTACAACGGATCGCTCCGGTAATCTTAATGTGACACCACAGACTGGATCGGATTAACCACATCGGTATGAGGGGTTACAAAAAATCTTTGCATTAAACTCAATAACCAACAAGGAAAAGGAAACAAAAGTCACCAACAAATCTTTGGTAAAGTGGTAAGACACATCGCACCCTAACTGAGAATAAATATTAAAACTTTTAAGAGCCGACATTGTCGCTGAAAATGACAGTGACGAGCCTCCAAAATAAGGCAAAAATAATCTACAGCTTCAAGATACATAGATGATCCAGTAAAGTTTCCCTTGTAAACAATACATTCTCAGCGTTAGTAAACCTCAACACACATAGTTGAAAACACATAAATAAGTTTTATCACATCAGACATTAATCAATCTTTCCTCTCCCTCTTTCTTTTTTCATTTCACTTTTTCCTTGTCTTCTAGACTAGAAAAAGTTATCAAAAGGTTTTTTTTTAAAATATGTACATATTTTTGTTTAAAGGCAAAACAGAATGTAGCAAAACTGATTTGTTTCTTTCCACTGATCAAAAAGCAGGTGGTGCTATTGGAATAGACTTTCTGGCTACATTCTCAACTGCTCCACCCGTTTTATAAGGCATTCTGGTCTGCAAGCAGCAATGTCTCTCAAAGATTCAATGCTTGTTTGGTTGGCCAAGGTCCCCCTAGGTACAAAAAGCAAATGCATAATTTATTCTTAAAAGAAAATGAACCAATAAAATATACGAGTGATCCCCTATGTTTTCGTTCCGTCCGATTTTGATCACCGGTTAAAAAAAATGTGTGGTTTTGATCCTTTATGTTATCGGTTCGTTGGTCCCTTACATGAAGAAGAAGAAGAAGAAGACCACATGACTTTTCTTTTATTTTTTAATTGTCAACTCAAACTTCCATTAAGGGGTTAACCGGAGTTAACAGTCGAGGAACTAAAATCATACGGATCGATAACGTAAGGTATCAAAACCACTTATTTTTGGAAGTGATGACCAAAATCGGACGGACCAAAAACAAAAGGGACTATCCGTATAGTTTACCCTAAACAAAATATGCAATCTATATATTTTTTTTGCCAATTCTTTCAAATGTAACTCAATAATTATCCGTACTCCGTAGAGAATAGAGAACATGCATAATGCAGTATTTAAACTTGGCTCCTAAACAAATTATGAAATAGTAGGAATAATGTGGTTTGAACCCAAATTATAAGGCTCACTGTCCAAAATTGCACTCTTGGAAAATTACTTGCATACAAAAGACACATTGACCAAAAGAACTATCGATATTAAAATATTAGGGCACACGGAGCCTACATGTCCAGGACCATTTTAAATTAATATCCAGGGGAACTCGTCACAAGGATATGACGAATTCCCTCTCCATTGTAGCAAATGTCGTAGATTACAAAATAATTTTTGGGTTGCCCTATTGGGCTAATTAATTTTTTCGCCCACATTATTGGGTTAATTTTGCCACCCATGGTTGCTCCAATTCTTCATTTTTCATGAAGTACTCGTGTCCAACATGGGTCTGAATATTCGTGTTTTCAAGGATCCTCCAAATACATGGAAAAACTTGGGGAAAAAAATATACTCGCATTGGATACATACCCGTATTTGATGCTTTTACCCAAATCCGAGTATAAGTGCCACCAAATAAAATCTCTTGTTTCAATATGTAGGTTAGTCCAGGTTAAGAACATGTTACAATCAATATGCTTGAATGCACTTCAGAACAATAACCATAGGAATAAATCATACCTCTTAGAGTAATGCTTGCTATCTCCTACCATTTTTTGGTCTAAGCCTCTTGAAAGCCATAAATGTAACTGCAGCAGACAGAGAATACCTGCAGAAAATAAAACAGATACCAGGTAAGAGGTATGATGGGAGAAAGAATTAGCTTTAAAAATCTGAGATAAATCCGTTTGTCTTTTCACTAATGAGCTGCTGAGGTGACACCATGATTTACTTCAGAAAAAGCAAAAAATAGCAAGAATGTTCTCAAAATAAAGTGTAGCGAGAGGCATACAGAAATCTAAATAATACAAACACATGCAGGCTTCCTTACCACAATCCATCATGCATCCATATATACGTCTCTACAGATGAAAGTAGGATACATGAACCATTATGTCCCATCATAAGACACTTTATTGAAGCAAATTTTCACTGAAGAGAGAGATTTCGGCTAATGCAAAATCTTGAGCACAAAAGGTTTTACATACAGTTCGTTGAGTTTTAATGGGGTTTCCTCAATTCAAAAACTGCAAGGAAAATATATGTACATATACACTCACACACACACACACACACACACACACACACACACACACACACACACATATATATATATGAGAAAATCCTTGAGGCATAACTAATTCTCAACCCAAATGCAACTAACCTATGCGCATTTCTACAAGATTACAATTTGCAAAGTAGCTCAAGAAAATAAATCTGACTTCCCCAAGATATTCAGATCCTACTCAGACAACAGATTATTAATCGGTAAGCAGGTAACCTTTTTTCCTCTTTCACAGAATTTTTAAAGAATATTTGGCTGTATTGTTTTCTATATTATTATCAGGCTTGGCTTAAAGGTTGTAATCACTGAAGACAGAATTATGATGTAGTGAAACAGTTGAAAATACTCCATCATGATAATCATATTATGATGTCTGTTTTTAAGAAGAGGGAGAAAGAAGTTACCAGAAATTATGTACTCATTAATAAAGTAAAATTCATGAAACTGAAGCTAAAAATCATATTCTATTTCATCTCAGAATGCTTCCTAACAAAACAATCTCAGAATATATAATCATCCAAATTATCAGTAGTAGGAGCAAAATACATTCCTAAATGTTGCAAAATCTCCCAGAACAAATTGATGCGAAAAAACAATCATGATAACTAAGTAAAAACACACAAGCATACTAAAGTTTAAACCTACTTCAAGAACAAGTAATTAGCATTGTACCCAACCCATAACTTGGAAGGTTCCATAGGGCATTTCCAAAGAGGCAGGCACAAATATTAAGTACATGGTCTATTAGTTTCAAATATCATGGCAAAAAAAAAAATTCAAGCATGTATAGAGGTGTGTGTCAATGCACAGCCGCTTCAAGTTGCCTTGAGGCATAAAGAAGAAGGCATTTGCAGCAATATAATGAATGAAGAAAAAAGGAACTAATTTGCAGAAGTTGTGTTAAACCAAATGCATCTTTAAGCAACAGGCATCACTTCTCTTTTGATTTCCAAAAGAAGAGGCAGTCTTTGGCCAACAGTTGCTAAATTGAATTAGTACAAAATTTATTTCACAAGAAAAATATAAAAATGATTATATATCTTTATAATAATTTATTAACATGACTCTTGAGTTTTCAGCGAGATATTTACATAGTTTTATTCAGTTCATACAACCTATTCATTATTTAAATTTTCTAATTCAGATTTGTTTAAATTCTAATTAGAAAAGTTTGCTCTCCTTCAACGCAATCACAAGAAAATCAAAAGTATTCCAATGATGGAAGGAGAGGGAACGAACATGCAGAATAATATAAAATATCCTCAAATATCTCTAACAAAGGAACTATATCTGCAGACTGCAGGGACATTATTTTGTATCATATAATATAGTGGCTCATACCATGTAAATGTATAATTTAGATGATCTTGAGGCATAACTGAACTGCGAATCAAGGAATTGACATCCTTTGGAACTGGATAAGGGTCGCTTGCACTAACATTTTCATTGATGTCTTCAATTAAAAGAGTATCCTTAGGAAGTCCACAAGCAACAGCAATTGCAGGAACATCAACGTAGAACCACTGTCCAGAATTTGGATCATTCGCTGGAACAAATATGCTTGGCTTCTCACTCCCCCGGACAACTCCAGTAACTTCCACAGAAGTAATAGCAGGGGCTTCATCCTGTATTCCAAAAACAATTAGACTTTTTCTCCTAAGATATGTTATTGGCATCAACCAAGGAATTAAGGGGTGATAAGAGACAACCTCAACAGTTTTTTGCTTCTTAGACTGAAACATTCTCCACCAGCTTTGTTCATTCTGTTGGACAGGAATAGCATCCATACTTGAGGACTTCTCCCTGTCTTGCGAAACTTCAAAAGATTTGTCTCTCCAGCTGCGTGGGACCCATCCTCTATTTACGAGAACTGGGGACTGAACACTGAAAGTGCATTTAAATAAGTCTAATGGAAACATAGCAAGCAATCTCATGCATCAGAAAGGAACATGAAGTTCAGCACCAAATAACAATTTAACCTTCAAAAGTGCCTATAAAGGGATACCACATAACGAAGGTAACGTAGAATCTTAAAGACTTCCCCATTCCAGCTTGCAGCTTAAGCTTGCTACTTTGAGACAAAAGACTAAAACAAAGCAGGAAAAAAAACACTTTCTAGTCTTTTCCTTTTTTTTTGTACTTTATTTATTTGTTTGTGTGTGTATGTGAGCGTGTTTGGGTGTGCAGGGATAACAATGACACAAAATTGAAGCACCTAAAAGTAAGACCCTTAAAGTCGGATTGCTTTTGAAACATGCTAAAAAAAGGGTTTTAATACACGCCAATAACTTTAAAAGGGTCTAAGGGATCCCAGGACCCACTAGTGAAAATGTCAAGCTTGTCCAGAAGCAATGACTTTAGTTGAGAGGTTCAGCCATAAATACTTAGTATAATTCTAATGAATAATGCAATGCCTGAAATATCATTATGTGATTCTTCAGGACATGCTTATAACACAAAAATTAGGAAGCTTCAAAACTTTCAGATAAATTGTCTTAGATGTCATGTGCAGTGTTACCTGGAATGTGGAATGGTCCAGTATTAGGAGCAAAAACTGGAACATTAATCGCTACTTGTTTGAAATGTAATTCTATAGGGGTAGTCTTCTTCAGTTCATTTAGTAGGAACGAAATATGATTTTTCAATTCGTTTAGTAAAAACAAAGTAAGATTCATTGGAACACAAAATGTTTTGTACATTTTATATATTTTAATTTAATAAAAACAAATAATTTCCATATATTTAATGCTTAAAATAATTAAGTTAATTTATATTTAACCAATAAAATATTAAATTACTTTAAAATTTAAATTTTATTAATAATTATTAACTTTAAAATACCCTTTTTTATTCAAAAAAGGAATATGAAAAATACTAAGTAAACATATACATTTTAAAAGAAAAAAAAATAAAAAGAAATAATTAATGGCAGAATCAAGCTACTCCTTTTATTAATGAAATTTCCTTTAAAAACTGTCATTCATAAAGTACCAACAATTTTGGTGGGAAAACAAAACAATTAACTGCATATCAAAGCTCTGCTCTCACTTTTTAAAAAGCCATAAATAAATAAGCCAAAGGGTTCGTCAACGCCCTCAGACTCTCACTTTCCCATAGCTCGTAATCTGAATCATCTCTTACAGTCTCACTCTTCATCAAAGTTTGGAATTAAAACTTTACCCATGGCCGATTTGTTCTTCGACGCTGGTTTCTAGTTAATTTATGTCGGAGATAATAGCTAAATAAACTTCTCTACAGTTACTAGGGAAAACACTGTCCACTGAATTGGATCACCAATGATCCACAATTGGGACCACACGATCCAAATTGGAAAACGCATCATGGTGAGCGATTTAGGTAGCAAAGGTCATATGTTTGGTAACATATGTTCATTGAGAAAAGAACTTCGAGGCTATAGATCACTACCAAAATTCAGATGGTAGAATAGTTTGGCCAAAGAGTCCTTGCTACCATATTGTTATAACCATGTTGTTTTGGATTGATAGTTCAGTTCATCGAAGGGATACTGAAACCTTTATCACCAAAGAGAAACAGAGATTGAAATCTTAGGACTCGTTAAAGAGAGACACATATCAACAACCTTTCCCACCATAGATTTGGTCCATAACATTACTCCCCTCTTTTAGAATGACCTTGTCCTCAAGCTCGAACTTAGGATAAACTTGGTGAAAGATCCCTTCCATTAATAATAGTTGAAACTGATAGGGATAGTAGGCCTCTACGAACTTATTCTCATTGAATAAGTCTCTTCAAACTTCTCACCAACATTCAATATTTTCAAAATAACACAAGTTTAAAACCATTAAACTTTTCTGATATGGAGTTGAAGGATCAAGTCTAAAGAAAACGACAAGTTAGATATGAATTTAAGAGGAGATAATGAATAAGACAAGAAAATGAAGTCTAGTGTGATTGCCATGATTTTAGCTGAGATGGGTTAAGGAGGGTTTGATGCATAAGAAAATAAAGAGAGATCAATAGAGGCTGCCATGATTTGGTTTTGTTCATCTGCCATAGAGCTGCTACCCTCTTTATCAGTAATCAGTTAATCTATTCCTTCATGCATTTGATCAAACACTTAGAATTTGGTTTCAATAATAATTTCGTCAATATCCTGCAACATCCAATCAAGCATTTGCTCTATGCCTCTATCTTTGCTTGCATATGCTCGAGCTCCTTGCTTATTTCTACTTGCCACTCTATCAACCACTATTCTACCATTGCTAAGTATTGTTGTCTCTTACTATCAAATTATTAAGATAATATGTTCCGGATTGATAGTTCAACTTATCAAAGGGAGAGTGAAAACTTTCAGCTTAACAAAGAGAGATCTAGATCTCCTTAGGGTTTTGATAAAAATTCTGCTTATCGTCTCATCATTTCAGAAGTCCCTTTAAATAAGAAGGGGTCTCATTACGTAAATAGATAACCTATTCTAAAATGGAAATAAATTAACTGAAATAAAAACATAATCCAAAAACTTAAGGAAAAAAAAGCATGATCTAAGACTTAATTAAAGAACCCAAATTAACAGCCTTTCCAGATATAGATCTGCCAGTCTCCATTCCTATGCATTCTCTCCTCTACTCATTCCCAGAAATATGCTTAAAGATGGTATCAATGAAGAGAAAATAGGAAATTAATGCTAAGGTGTTTAGGATATATCTGGAAATACAAAAATTGACGAGAATATTTATATAGAACAGAAAATTAACGTTAATTACCTCTCAGCATCACCAGGGATTGGCATTAGGGGTGTAATGACATAGTAGCCATTTTCAGTCACTCCAGAAATGCTTCTAGAACGAGGCCCAATATAGATTGACCTTCCATTGTCAAAAACTCCTTTGCACACAACTCGCCTAAACTCCAAAGTTTCCAATATCTCACTTGAAGGAGGCATGCCATTTAGTTTCAAAGGTTCCATTTTCAACCTTTTTTGTCTATAATCCAACACCTTTATCTGGATTATGTATAATGAGAAAAATATAAGAATGCTATTCTGAAAAAAAAAACTGAAAAACAATCCTAAAGGGAACACAGATGAGAGCAATACGTGCAGTAACTTGAGTGCACATGTTTCTAAATGATGAAACATTCCAGTTAGACACAAGTAAAAGGATTTCTATAGATTGCAGCATAAACCTGAAAAGCACATGACTTAAGTGTCATGATCCATTGAAAATGACAAGTGATTATGCTTATGATGCATATGGCATATAAATAAAGAAGATTAGTGAAATAATAGATGTATGCAAAATTATACATCGTTCATTTACGCATTCGCTTTCTTAGACTATTTTATTTATTCAAATGGTCTATCTATATCATGAAAGTATTTTATGCCAAAAATAAAAAATGGGACATAAAATATGAATTACTAATCTTCCAAATTTCAGGTATAAATGTATATAAGAGCACCCTTTAGGGGTATATTTCTAATAAGAAAACACTATGGACTGTTATTGGCTCAGTGCTTGACTAAGTTAGCTGGACTTGGGGTGTCTGTCAGATATGAATATGTATACCACACAAATATGCTCAATTTATATAAGGTTCTCCATATATTTGGAGAATCGTACCCCATACAGCATACCTATGTCTGAATATGTGTAGGAGAAGAAGTGGAAACACGATAACTCCTGGAAAGACCAGGTAAAGTCGATACCTCTAATTTTAATTTTGTTCAGTCAACAAATTCAATTAAATAGTAATAAGACAGTCTATCTTTTCTCGCTAGAAGCCAGACAACTATCATTTGTTTGAGCAATGTTTATTCAAAGAAGTAAGTTCGAAAATTTATATTTAAACAAATAAAAACAACTCAATAGCATCAAGAGCATTTTAATTGATCTATACATAGAGAAATTCAAACTCACTAAAATGGCAGTAAATGTTAAAATTACTTTGACTTGAAAAAAATACAGAAGAGTACTTGGGGCAGACTCAAGCAAGCAAGCATAATATAAAAAGAAAAGAGCACTGAAGCAATGGTAGAGATAGAATAAGAAGACATTAATACATAGGTCCTAGAAAGTAACAGAAAAATGCAAGGGAATGAATGGAATGTAAAAGAAAAGGGGTAAATATAGTTGACCTTGTCTTGCCTTCTGAAAATCTGCCAAGTTCCAAGGCCGAAAGTGATAGCCCCTGGAAGGAAAAGAAACCATCTTGTCCATTTTGATCCTTTCTCTTTATCTGCCAAGCATCAACAAATGAAGATGGAAAATATTCTGTGTCTCATTAAAATCTACGAAATTCCCCATATGAAGAAATACGTGATAAAGTTAAATACCATGAAGAGATTGGGAAGAAGAGGAAGCAGCAGCAGCAGCAGCAGCAGCAGCGGTATCAGAAGAGGTGGAGATATAGAAGGAATAAGAGGGTACCCAATGCTTTGGCGACAGGGATTGGGTGGAGACGGCATAGAAGGCCCCACCAGGGAGTGGTCTCGTTAGGGCTTTGGAAACGATTGCCGTTTTTGATCTCAAATTTGATGCCATTGCCAGCAACCTTCTACCACTTTGTTTTTTTATCCTGGAAAAAAAAACACTAAATCACTGTTTCAAGGGTTTTGGGGCTTTGAGATTCTGTTTTAAGGTCACCCTCCGATTAAAAATATATATTTAATGTTATCTTTTTGATTAATGATTTTTATTATTTACCTGTTTACCGTTACGGCGATAATTTAACGATTTATAATATTGATATAGTAGTCTACGGTGATTGATGATGTGAATGATGATATAATAAATATAGATGGACACATGATCTAAATTCGACGAGTCCCGACTCTATTGGATTAGATTTTAAAAAATATGGTTCGGATCGATCAGGTTTTTATATGATATGTTTGAGTTGTGTTAAGTTAAATTTAGGTTTAAGTTTAGAGTAAAAAATAATTAGTCTGACTTAACCTGAAAATAATATAATTGTATATTATATATTCAAGGATAATTGATAAAATTGTATATTATATATTCAAGGATAATTGTAATAATAGTCTTTTATGTATTATATTTTTAATTAGATCCTTATTTTATCGGATATAATTAATATTTTTATAAATATATTTGTTCTGGGTCAGATCATATATGGTTTTAGGTGTAGATTTCTCGGGTCGGGTTGGCCGAGAACAAGATCCATGCCCATCATTAATGACAGATGGGCTAAATCGATTTTTTGGTCTTATTCGAAGGAGAAATTGATTTTTTTAAAATTCAGGGACTTATTTAATTTTTTAAACAATAAAAATTATTTTAAATTTTAAATATAAAATTATTTAAATTATTTAAATATATATAAAATACTAAAAATAAAAATTATTAAAACTTAAATATATATATATTAAGCTATAGAATAATAACTTATAAATTATTAAAAAATTTAAAAAAAATTAAAAAGATATATTATACATAATATATACATGTAACATATAATCATATCATTAATACTTATACAAAATATTCTTATTGAACTAATTGAGGTTTATAAATTTTGTACTAAATATAATTGGGAAAAATAGTAAGTTTTTTGTATCAATATACACCTCTAATCATACTTTGAACAATTCTATGGACTATTTGTAAACTTTTGCACATTATATAATAAACTAGTATATAAAGTTGCGCTTAAAAATTGCAATTTTCTCAATAAATCACCGGTGATCGGTATATTTATCAATCTAACACCGATCAGATTATATTTTCCGATCTAACACCCGTAGCAGTAAAACGCGCCCTCTGCCCCGCAACATACGCTGATTTGGCGCCACGTGGGTATAGCCCCCCCCCCCCCCGATCTCTGCTATACCTGCGTATCTGACACGTGGGGTATAGCGCGGTGCAGGGGGCGCGCTATACCCCTAAATACCCGGCCCCTCACATCCTAATCCTCCCTATAAATACCCCATCCTCAATCACTTTTATCACACCAAATTCTCTCAAATTCTCTAAATTTCTCTGAGATACTCTCTCTCTTTTAAGGTATATTTTATAATATTTTTACTATTATGTATTTACTTTATTTAATATTTTACTAATATAATTCTTTTGCAGATATATAATGGAAGACAGTCTACTTCGCTCGGATGGAAATCATATATCTCTACACTTTGCTGATACGCTAACATTTTAACGTTTTAATTTAATTTAAATTATTAGTAATATTTAGTTGATTTATTTAATGCATGATTATTAGATTAAGAATTAAATATCTCGATATTTTGTTGATTCGGTAACATTTTAACGTTTTAATTTAATTTAAATTATTAGTAATAATTAGTTGATTTATTTAATATATGATTATTAGATTAAGAATTAAATATCTCGACACTTTGCTGATACGGTAACATTTTAACGTTTTAATTTAATTTAAATTATTAGTAATAATTAGTTGATTTATTTAATGCATGATTATTAGATTAAGAATTAATTTTTGTAATTATTTATTTTTAGGAGAATGACCGTGTATTAGATCCTTTTATTAGGAATCTTAAGTTAGTGATACTCAGCCGTGTCTTGCCGTATTTAGTAGAGGTTGGATTCAGTTACATAGGTAGATATCAGTGTCACTGTAAGGTAGAGCCAGACCTGATTTATACCTTAGTAGAGCGGTGGAGGCCGGAGACCCACACATTACATCTTCCGTGCGGAGAGTGCACGATCACGCTTGAGAATGTTTCTATGCACCTGGGGCTTCCAGTGGATGGAGATGTTATATCGGGGATAGCTTCCGGTTCTTGGACTACTTTGTGTCGGGATAGTCTAGGACGTGTCCTGGAAATTTTTATCGGAGGTATGATACCGTTAAATTGGTTAAATGCTAATTTTCGGGAGTTGAACGCAGATGCCTCTGAGGATGAGGTTAAGATGTATGCACGGGCATGCATACTGCAGCTGATAGGAGGGTTGCTGATGCCGGACAAATCGCGTAACCTAGTTCACTGCATGTGGTTGCGACATCTTAGCGACTTTCGTCTCGCCGGATCATTCAGTTGGGGCTCAGTAGTTTTGGCTTTGCTGTACAGGAAGATGTGTGGAGCCACTGACTACAGACGTAATGCTATCGGCGGATGTCTCCTGCTACTGCAGTCTTGGGCATGGTATCAATTGCCCTTTTTATGTCCCGTTGTGAAGAACTCATTCGTATTTCCACTACTTCTGAGGTAATTATAAAACTGATTTTGTATATTAATAATTTTATACAGCGTATAACAAATTTTTTTCCTTGAATAGGTGGTCTACTGATCATCAAGAACTACCTGATGATTTAGAAAAAAATTAGGGTGTTAATCGATCAGAAGGCTGACACACAGGTATGAATTTTAATGTTTAAAAATCGATTTTAGATTATAGTTATATAATTAGATTATTATTTTGATAAAAATTATATATTGTTTATTTTAGTTTGAATGGGTGCCATATTCTACTGATGATGTGAGGGCGGTGATCCCACCTGAGTTGAGGGGTCCATCAGATGTTTGGATGGCGATGGTCCCTCTGATCTGTTATGCGACCGTCGAGTGGCACTCCACTGATCGCGTGCTCCGGCAGTTTGGTTGTTTTCAACCAATTCCGGAAGCACCTCGCAATATGGACGAGTTGCATAGCTTAGATAGACACGGTAAGACAGATACAGATTGGCTGGTGAGGCATCATGAGTGGGTCGTGTTGTGGGAGGATCAACATCGGCGCCTTCCACGTAGAGAGCCCATTTTTACTAACTTCTTGATGTATGCTGAGGATTATTATGAGTGGTTCAACAGTAACGGGAAACCGTTTCTACTTCCCGAGGATGCACGAGGGCAGACCTTTCCATGACGTCGACAGAGACGTTCACCGACACAGCATCATCGTCCCCCGACTCGTGGACGGAGAGCATGTGCTTCCGGTTCATCCTCAGCTGCACCAGCAGGACCTTCCCAGCAGCCACCACAGCCATATATGATGTCGCAGCCATATATGATGTCGCCATCGCCTTTCCATTACCAGATGTCGTCGCCTTCACCTGGTTTTATGACACCGCCACCGTCACAAATGACCCCTCCTGGAGGTTATTATGGGTCTATATTTGTAGATCTGACTTGGGGTTTATATGCTAGATATTTGGCGGGTTCAGCCTCATCACCCATGGCCGTAGTACAGACACCTCCTGTATAGTTTTCACACTCAACGATGTCTGGGTTTTCTCAGTTTTCGTAGGCCGGTGGTATAGTCAGTCATACACCTCTAGGGTCCTTATTCTATGGAGGTTCTTCATCGTCATCATCTCCTCATCAACCTAATGTATCTGCTCAGAACGACAACGACGACGACGATGACAGCGAGGAGTCAGAACCAGTGATACGAAGAAATCCTCCTCGAGACCGACAGCCACCGCCTTGCGGAACACATTTGCGACGCATGCATCGATAAATTTTTTTTATATTTGTATTTACTTTATTTTGTTTAATTGTAATTTTTTATTATTTCTCATTTAATACTTACTTTATTTTGTTAAATTTGTTGGACTTTTTTTAATATATTTCAGTTAATTTTGTTTATTACCATTTAATATCGGTTATTGTAATTTGGTTATCATTTGCCATTTAATTCTTATTGTAAGTTTGTTGTATTTAAATACCAAATTGTTATTAGTTTGATAAAATTTAATGATTGTGTTCGTTTTTTTTAATCTTCATCAGCGATTATCGAATGACATTAACTTGAAGTAAATGCAAATTAAAATACAAGAATTATTATTTGATAAACAAATACATCATTTCCTCATCAATTGTTACTTGATGGCAACAGAAGTGAACATGGTTTTCTAGTGTGTACTGAGTTTCTACAATAACTACATCTTCTGTCTTGTCTAGATTTTTCTCGAATATCCATATCGCAATGAATTCGATTAGATTTTAGACGACCATGCTCCCTCAATAAACTCAAATTTGGTACATTCGGAAGCCAATCTTGAACCTCATCAAGGTCTTTATCATTACCTATGGGGGGAAACTCAAATTCGTATACCTTAAAAACTTCATATAGTAGGTATACGGGATCCACAAAATGGTTATAGTCTTGATGTGTATGCGAGCAATCTGCTCTCACATGAGAGCATGGATACTTCAGATCTTGAAAAAACCCGCAGTCGCACGTTCTGTCCCTTAGATTTACTCTTAACGACATAACTTCAATCCCTTGAAGAGGTCGCGACAACTCTGTGACACGAAACATTTCATGCCTTCTAGAGAAGCTTGTTACAAACATTCCATTTGATGCAACAATTTTTTTTCTATAGATCTGCAACTAATCTAGGGTGATAGACATGACCGCCTTGCATCCAGGTTTGAGTTTGTCCCCCGAGCTTCGTAAAAAGCGCCCCCAAATGAAAATATATAGTTTTTACCAAAGCCGCTACAGGTAAGTGACATGCACCCTTTAAGGTTGAATTGATTACCTCAGCCAAGTTGGTCGTCATGTGTCCATATCGATATCCACCATCATATGCGTCCGTCCACATTTCTTTATCGATGAGGCTGATGTAATCGTATCCTTCCTCGTTCTTCGCCCGCAAATCTTGAAGCATTGA